GCATTAGACAGAATGCCAGCACTGCCATTCAATGTTGGAAATTGTAACAGATGAAATGCTACAAGATGCTGTAAAATACTCAAAGGCTGAAATAAAAGTAAACCATTCCGTATACACCAATAGCCATGTTCAAAAATGTATTTATTATGACACCTTGCTAGCTGAACTGAAAAGAAACATAGGTCTGCTGTACTTAGCAGGGATTTCTCATGGTAATCACAGAAATGTAAAAGACTTTTGGAAAAGCAATGAGTCAAATACATGGCATAAAATTTATGCCCTTGTAAATGTGAGGACTTACTATGCTTTCAATTTGGAAATTTATCCTGGAACTCAGCCATCAGGTCATAATTCACATAAACCAAATGATGTTATGAACAAACTTGTTGTTCCCACCTCCCAAACTAATCAGAATGTGACATTCAACAATTGGTTTACCACTTTCCAATCCATATTACACTTGCAAACAGAGCACAAGTTGAGCAGTATAGAAACTGTACACAGGAACAAAGCAGAAATTCCAAAGAAAACATTGCAAATTCAAACAGATAATAGGACAATCTTTAGATTTCAGAAAGATTTACACTGGCCTCATATAAGGCAAAGAAAAACAAACTGGTATGGCTCATGTCAACATTGCACCACAATGGAAATGTTGATAGGGAAACCTGGACAAAACAGAAGGTTGAAATGGAAATTTTCTAAAAGTAAAGGTACAGTAGACATTGCTGATGAGTTATGCAGCAACTATGATGTCATTCAGAACACAAAGCCTTTACCAACACTTGTGTTTTACTCAATCTTAAACATGTGTGGCATAAATAGTCTGATAGTTTACAAAGAAAATAACAAGTGTAAAATAGCAAGAAGAAATTTTCTTAAGAGGATTGGGATTGGAACTCATAAGAGATGATTTACAGCAGAGTAAAAACAAAATGTTTCTGCCCAGGGAACTACGCAAAAAAACTGTGGAGCACATTGGTGAGCTGACAAGTGAATAGGCAACATTCCGAAGACCTACTACAACAACAGGAAAACTAAAAATATATCAACTGTGCCCTGTAAGGACAGGAAAACAAAACATACGTGCTATCAGCGTAAGCAATATTTGTGTACGGAATATGCAATTGTCCTGTGTGAAGACTACCTTGGGTGTGACAATTGAAGCAAAGATTATTTTTGTTGTACGGACCCAGCAGAAATCCAGAGGATCATCAATACCTACTTCCAGAACCTATACGCCAATAATATGGAGAACACAGAAGAAATGGACAGATTCCTAGATACGTATGAATTACCAAAGTTGAACGAAGAAGACCTAAAAATTCTGAACAACCCAATATCAACCAAT